TTCCAGCTTTTCTAGGGGACTGTTTTGTTGAGGTCACTGCCCCTTCTGTCTGCTGCTGTTTAGTCCTGTCTTTTCTTTCCTTCTCTCACCTGGTAGATCCTGCCACTTTCTTTTCTGGATGGCCAGTATTTCAGTGCCCTGATGACCCATTCAGGGTTGTTGTTCCAGCAGCAGAAGATCCTCGTCTGATTTCAGTCACTCCTAACTGACCATTAGGCATTTGTATTTTTTCTCCTTGTCCCATGTCTGGTGTATTTTCCTCTTCCAGTTGTTAATGCCAGTTTAATAGATCATTATATCCCCATTGGAGTCCAGGTGCCTTTTGGATCTAGTACCTCTTTCTTATCTTACCACCAATTTCCAATTTAGCCTTGGGACAAGGAAACTGAGATCAGTCCTCTGCTGCTGTGTGATTTGTGATACCTGGTTCTACCTTCCACGTTCAAGTCAATCTGCTTTCTTTCCAGTGCAGTTTAGGAGCTAGCAGGTGGTATGTCAAAACAAAGAAAAGCAGCAGTCCTCCACTGTTGTATGTTAGGGTTGTCAGTGTCCCAAGAGCCTCTAAAGATTGCAGGATTAATTAGATCAAAGTTCTGCCTTTTTAGTCTGTAGCAGACTCAATGCAGATAGGACCTTCAGAGAACTTTGCTTCAATGCTGAATTATCTGTGAGATGGGTGACGGTCATCAGGGCTCTCAAATTAGCCAGGTTTTGGGGAGCCTTTTTTCCCATTGGGACAGATCTAAAAAAAAAAAAAAAAAGGGAAAAAAATCCAGCTGAATTTTATTTACCTTAGCCAGGAATGGAAGAGCAGAATTTATTTTCTCAGCCAAACTGTTCCAAGAATGTAACTTTCATGTGGAGTTCTTGGAGTTTGAATTTTAACATTTTCTTTGGGACAGATCTAAAAAAAAAAAAAAGGGAAAAAAATCCAGCTAAATTTTATTTACCTTAGCCAGGAATGGAAGAGCAGAATTTATTTTCTCAACCAAACTGTTCCAAGAATGTAACTTTCATGTGGAATTTAAACATTTTCTGTCTGAATCTTTCTTGGAAATATATGCACTGTTTTTGCTTAGAAGCTCCTCTGGATATTCTAATAATAGTCATTTGGCAGTTAAAGAACGCAAAAAAATTGCATTTGAAATGTGTAAGGATATTTAGAAATCAAGGTAAGAAATCCTATTTATGTTGCTTTAATTTCTTGTGACATTCAGCAAATTATTTTGCTGTCTTCAATTTATTGCAAAACTGAATAAGGTGTCAAGGCAAAACTGCTTTGAGATAATGAATAGTATGCTCAAAATACTAACTATTCTGCATTTTGCTTGTGTTAGCAAAAACTCGTGCTGCTGACTTACTGGTGAATCCGCTGGACCCAAGAAATGCAGATAAAATTAGAGTTAAAATTGCTGACCTGGGGAATGCCTGCTGGGTGGTAAGTACAACTACATCACTTTAACTGTTTGCCTTTCACTATTTAGAACAGGCCTTTTTATTGTTCATTTTTTCCATTAATGTGGTTCTTTCTGTTTTAGCATAAACACTTCACAGAAGACATCCAGACAAGACAATATAGATCCATAGAGGTTTTAATAGGAGCAGGTTACAGTACACCTGCTGATATCTGGAGTACAGCATGTATGGTAAGAACAATACAATGTGTATTTTACAAGAATAAAACTCCTAAAACCAGCTGTTTATTTAGTGAGGAAACCTGATGAAGATGGTTCTGACATTTTGACACAAATACATTATCATAAATTATGGCGTATCAGATCGCTACTGATGATTTTTCCCCTTTATTTCAATTTCTCAGGCATTCTTAAAGGGAAGTATTTTGGAGAATGCTTCTAATTTTCATTTGGTGCATTTTACATTTGCAGTCAAAACCATGCAAGTTTGGAGGGAAATACATCTATATTTTAAATGACACAGTCTAACTGAAATAGTAAAACTGCATGTTTCCTTCCTGTCTTAGAATCTATGCAACTGTTTGCTATGTTTCCATTCCTTTTTCTTGCATGAAGTTAGCAAAACAGTGAAATACTTCAATTTATTGCCAAGTGTAGTGAAAACATTCATCAGATCAGGCTTGCAAATCACAGCTTTAGTTGGAAGAGAAGGAATTTAGTTTATTAGTAAAATATGTGGTAACATTCTGTAGAATTAGTTTTAAAACTGAAATTATAGATTTCCAGAAGTCTTTAAAAAATAGAAAAAGTAAAAAATTATTCAACACTTACTCTGTTTGTAATGTCTCTTTGAGGACAAATAAGCTACAGGCATCTTATTAAAGGCAGTTTTGGAAATACATTTAGAAATATCTTTGTCTATTTTAAAAGTGAAATCTTATTCAAATCTTTATATTTTACAAATACATGTCTGAAAAGAGTAAGTGTGTGAGGAGGAGGAGAAGACTCAAATACTAGACACAGTTTGCAGGCGTGGGTGATGAGCAGAATTGCAGAGCTCAGGGGGAGAGGAGGAGGATTGAAAGGAACAAAATCCTACAGATATTATAAGCTCAGCAAGCCATGTGTTGGAAGTAACTAACCCATAAGTAAAATTGCAAGTATGTTTTCTGTGGAGTTTAACGCTAGCTTTTGCTTTAGTACACAGAAAAGAACATCCATTTCCAAATTTACTCTTCCATTTGGGGGCAAAATGTAGAATTTTTCTATTACATTGAAAAGAAAGCATAGAAAATATTCCATAGTTTTGATCCTTAATTCTTTGAATGATTTTTCTCTTAACTAACTACAAAATTATTATAGAGAATTCTTATTGTTCCTTTTACCTGATATTTTGTAAACCTTGGTTGAACTGGATACCTTTTTATGATATTCAATACCCTACATTCATCTTTCTTTAAGGTTGTACCTACTCCCTGCTAATTTTATATACGATCTTGTAAATAAAACCACATTAAAAAAAGGCTGAAGTCTATCTAGGATTGTGTTTAAAGAAAGTGGCGTGCTTAATAGCAACATCATACCTAGGGAGTATAATATTCTTACAATACTTGGGGTTATCCAGCCCCTTGTGCTTTAATTCTTTTCCATGTTATATAAGCATTACTGCTTTCTGCGAGTCCTTTCTCAAACTCAGGAAGGGGAAAAAAAAAAAAAAGCCTAAAGCATTTCTGCTGCTAGGGGTATCTCAATTCAGTTTCACAATTATTTATGAAATGTCAGTATTTTAATGAGAAAATTAAACTTCTGCTTTTTTGTTATGTAAGCTTTAAAGATAGTAAAGCATATGGGTCAGAGCACTGTGAGTACTGATCTTGTATGAGATGGAAAACAGCTCTGAGGTAGGTTGAAGACTTGAAGACCTTAATGCCTCTTTCTACAGAGGACTTGTAACAGAGATTAATGGCCAGGGAAACATTCCTGATACGGAACTGCAAACTCCCAATTAATTTATTTAGGCTGTCTTTGGAAATTATTACTTGATTCTCTCCAGTCTCAAAAGCAGTGGAGATCTGTGAAGCACCAAAGTGTTTTAATGCCATTGTAGTCCCACTTGCTTTCTGAAGTTTGGATTTCTGGTGGTACCTCGATGTGGTTCAGAAAATGCCCTTCTAGGTTACCTTGCTCTTGTTTCATATTTAATTCACTTTATTCGGTAATGTTTACTATTAGATGTGTTTTCAAAAGGTTTGTCTGCTGGAGCAGGAGCTGGAGGTGTTGTTTATCTTCAGCCAAAATACAGCCCAGGTACCCTGTTAGCCATGTTGTCCAAGACACTCAAAGGAGAGCAAGGAGACTTCTTTGCTGTGTTGCTTTGCTTGTACAAGTCCAAAGTCATTGAGGACATTTTTGGAAGCAGTACTATGTGAAATGAGTGGTCCAGCAGTATTGCCATGACTTTTTTCTTGGCAAGTTTCCATCCTTCTATACTTTGCCCAGTGTGACGGTACCAAGCACACATGAACTGGTGTCCTACCAGCTGACTCTCTATTGATTGCATATGGCATTTCTCATTTCTTCCTTTTGTAAATTAAAAAAAAAAAGTTTGTCAATTAAGAGGTAGCTATATGTTATTAAGTGACCTAAATTTGAGGTTGTGTTTAGATTAGGTAAGTAATTGCTCTGATCATATCCACCTGTCAGAAATACTGCCTTTGTGAACGAGTAGGCAAGGTGCCATGTGGCTTTGCAGGGTGAGCCGCGTTACATCATTACAGATTATGTCCTTCATCTTGATCATGATTTTGACTTTGGATGAGCTTTCTTGTCTCAGTTTCTCTACTGAATGATACGCACATATTGCAAAAGTGTGTGCCTAATATGAATGATGTGAATTAATGTGAATGCAAAGTATAGTAAGGTAGTATCAAAGCAAAGATGAGACGTTACACTTTTAAAACCCTCGCTCACAACCGAATTGCTGAGCTAGTTCTCTGAACCTGCACTGAAAGAGAGTTCAAAATATTTTTACCTCATTTGGATGGAATTGTGTGCAAATACATCTTGTAGATTTGTGTGTACCCACAACCTTCAAATCAGAGATTTCTGACCAGTATTCTCACAGAGACTGATCCAGGTGTGCTCTTCACTCCTGCATCTGTGTAGCTCTTGCTGACAGAGACCTGCTGCTTCAAAGTCATGATCAGGTTCTCCATTACCAAGTTTTATAACATGGCTGCCAGATTCTCTTAAGTTGCTCACAGGTAGTCCAGAACACTCTGCTTAGTAGTAAACAGCACACATGAAGACTACTTAGCTTGCAAAATAGAAGAGATTCTCCATGTGTTATATATCCACTACTGTGTCAGATATTCTAGATGATACCTCCATTAAAAAAATACGATAAAAGCAAGCCTTTCTTTTAATTAGTTTAGGGTCCATAGGGTTTCCATGTCAGAGGTTTATGTGTACGTAAAACGCATCAGTCTTTTCATGTCTCCTGGATTTTGTGAAGGACCACTTGGAATACTTGGAACCAGGATTCACCTGGGATCTTAACTTGGTCTTGTGTTTTATGGATCTCCATTTGAGCCTAAGGTTTTTCACTGCCTTATGCTTGCTAATGAAATGATCATGCTCACTGGGAATAGCATTGACTGTGAGAGTAGCAGGGCTAGCCGTTCTTATATTGGCTTGTATTTATGGCATAAAGTGTTAAGTCAAGCACAAAGATTGTGTTTTATCACAACAGTAGCAGACTGTCTTTTTTCATCATACCATTTGCTCATCAATTCACTTAGTCTTTAGTAGTGAGGATAGAGATGATGATGTTTTTAAACAAAAGCCTCTGATAATGGTGCCCTGAGCATGTAAAGCATCTGTGTTCATGGGTGCACAGCAACTTCCAGAATACCTCCCTGGTATTTAGGACATGGCATGTTGTGTCTCTGTGGAGTGCGCTCCTCACCTGGGGCTCTGCTAGTATGGGTTGGCTTCCTGTAGCCATCAACTCCGTGGTGCCGCTCTCAGGAAAGAATAGTCCTGTTTTATTCGTATTGTCTTTAGTATGGGAGTAGCCGGAGATTCTGATCAGGATTACTTGTGCTGGACATATACATAAACAGAGCCATGTGAGGACTCTACCCAAATAGCAAAAGAGGGAGAAATAACTCAGTGCTAATAACCTGACAGTTCTGTTTCTTTTGGTGTTATGTCAGTGAGTACGTAGCATTGTAAGCCAGCAAGCAGCCTGTGAGCTGAGTCTTCTAATTTTAGGTATTTCAGCGTGGCCCAAACCTCTTCAAATCAGATTTAAAGGACGAGAGCGAGTGTCCTTGGGCCAGTACCAGTTCTCTGCTCAGGTGATCTGAGTCTCAAAGTCTTTAAGAAAAAGAAAAAAAAAAGGCAAGGAAAAAAGAGGATGATGCATATCTTTGAAGGGTTATAATCAGTGCACGCATGATGTGCTGTGAAGCTAATGAAAGAAGTTAAATGCCAGTGGGCTTTCCAGACTATGACAGAGTTGTTCACTTGTTCTGTGCTCAGCAAAGTATGCAAGAAAGTGTAACTTAAATTTTTTTCCCAGATTTTGGTGACAGGTCTGAGTGATTGTTGCTGTAATTTGCTGGACATTTATAAGTTTTGCTAAGGAAATTGCACAGTGGCCATTCTTTTAACGATGTGACCTATTTAAGTGGGATACTCAGCTGCTCTCATGGAAAGCTAGACACTGGGAATCTCTCTTCACATTTATTAAATTCTAGAAAATTCTATGTTCCCTTGCCGTACTAAACCCTATTTTAATTCTGCCAAGAGGGAGGTGCATCTCTCGTTTTCACCCAGCAAAAGGAACAGATTTGGAGTCAGCAGTGCTATTGACAGGATTGAAACCACCCTTGATCATTTAATTCTATCAGGCTGAATTTCCACATTGCAGTATTGAGAGGGTTGCCTTCTGTGGAGCAGAAACTGAACAGGCACTGCATGATTTAGCATTTCCTAAATCTCAAAAACCATGGAACGCAGTACTCTGCTGCTGCCAAGAAATCCTGGCAAGATATGGGAGTTAGTACTGGCAGAGGGCATCCCTTTGTATTGCTCCTGGAAGCGTCATGATTCCACTGCTTTTCCTTGTTTATGCTCTTTGGTTTGGAGACGGGAAAAGCACCTGAAATGATGATTCTCATTATGTGACTTGTTGTTCGTTATGTACAGTCTTGTTGGAGCTGCAG